TAAGCATTCTACATATGTCTCCTGTATTGTGTTCTATATATATTTTTGTATAATCCTCAAGAGGACTTTATTTTGTGTGATTACTCTATGATTACTTGTGTACTTACTTTATGTTTCTAACCAATATTTCTGGAAGCACATTTTAAACATAAGCGTTCTATACATAAATATATCTCCGTATTGTTTTCTATGTATTTTCAATAATATAATGTATTTTCTATCATTCTTATACATTTCTACTAATAATAATTATTTATCTCCATTACCTGATTTCTTAACCTATCCTTAAATTCTACATTTTACTCCTTTACTGATTAAAACATCTTGTAAACTATTCAGTTCTCAACCAATGTGCTCTAATACTTTTTTATAGAAAATAAAACGATGCACGCTATGAAGCATAAAAAAGTATACACGGTGTCCCAAAAATGTCGCACAATTCGGAAATGCGAGGGTTACTGAGGTTATTTGAAATAACTTTTTCCTTAACGAAAATTCAATCCGCGGCTTTGTTTACTTACATTGACCAATGAAAGGCGAGCTCGTCTCATATTGGTCACTGTTTTTCACTAATAACTCGTAAACAAAGCCGCGAGTTGCATTTTCGCTAAGGAAAGATTACTTCAAATGATCTCAGGAACCCCTCATTTCTCGCTTGTACAATAATTTTGGGACACCCTGTATAATGTCGGCAGAAGGATAAAAGGTTGGATTTATTGAACAAGTGTAGATTTTGATTCTATATAATAAGATTTTTATTTTCTAAAATGTACTTATAAAATGTGATCTGTACATATTGTCTAATGTGTGCATTAGGAAGGCCCTTAGTTATAAGTGTTAAAAATTTGTTGCGTTTTTTTTCAGTCTTACCCTCCTAAATTATGACACTTGATGAGCAAATGATGCCAGCAAAATTTTAGCGTGATTGGATAACGGAAACTGTTACGTTCCTATACTCTTCTCCTAATTCTAACATATCTTGTTTATTTTCTTCATTTTTCTCTGTTAGTAAATTACTATATTCTGATATCAACTTTACGACTCGTTCTGCGACATCATTAATTACTTTTAAATTTATGCATCATTAAATTTGCTCATACTTTTAAATTTGCTCTATAAGATTCATCATTTTTCCACGTTGTGAATCCTTTAATAAAAAAATCTATAGATAAATTAAATCGGTTGAAGAATTTACGACAGTCTCTTCTGAAATGAAAATTTCTATCCCTAGATTTACATAATCTGCCATATTTTTTATAATTATTTTTCTTGATAAGGTTCCAACTTGGACTGTTTTTAAACTTTCGTATTTAAAGATAAACTTATATATAAAAAAAAAAATGAAGATGTAGTTTCTGGTGTAAGGTACCATAAATATCGTCCAAATTTATGCAGTCCTATCCGGCTAACGATTACGTCACTATATTTGTTTTCCCACAATTTTATCAAAAATCATGGAGCATTAAACCAAGTTTCGATATATAAATTAGCTATAAATATACATAAATCTTTCACTTACAACATTTGTCCCACGGTCAAAAAAATTATTATTTACCTATGATCGATGTCGTTTTACATCTGTATTTTACACGATGCAATACCTCATTTCTGCCCAAAATTTTGGGTTTTTACAAAAACTCGTTTTTTTTCGAAAACTGGCGGTGATGGAGCAATTCGGTTTTCAAATTCTTGTTCGGGGAGTGAAGGTCTGCAAAAATTTCATAGTGGCTATAGGAAATCAAAAATCGTGTCGGACAGTGTAATCGTTATAGGGAAATAAATGAATTGTTTTGATGACTACGCGAAGTGCGAAATGTTTGGGTACAGGATATTGTGATAGACGGCGAGTGTTCATGCCCGTTATCGCTTCCATATCTCGCGGGAACCCCCATGATCTTATTGATGAGTATTTCTGTAGGTCGTGTTCCTTATCTCTCATATGTGTTGGTAACGGCCCTATGATAAAAACGACGGCGCGCTCTGCCATATTTGTATTGTCTTGTATGATCACTCCGTGAGTCTGAATATGATGAATTGTCAGAATTAAAATTAATAATAAATGACTCTGTTAAAATGAGTCAATATTGTGATCCAGTTACCAAAATTTGTCTCCAACAATTTTAATCGTATGTTCCGCACATTTTCTCCAGTTTTCAATCGTAATATTTTCCAGTGACTCGAAAAGTAATCTTTTTACATTCGCAAAACTAAACGTTGCATTATGTGCTGTAATGTCATTTTTCACTCGTGCTCAAATCATCTCAATCGGATTTAATTTGCAGTGGTAGGCCGGCAGACGAAGCACCCTCATATTATTTTCCTCTACTATTTCATCCATTACATAGGTAAATGTTATATTCTGTCGTTTTACAATTTGCAAACATTTTTCAGACATTACCATGTTTTGTGTAAGAGTAATTCGTTTTGAGTCTAACCATTGTTCGATGTCAGCTTTTTTCCAACATGAATTTGGAGTTTTATTGTTTTCTGGAATTTCATGTGCACATCATAATTCTCCTTTCTCTTAAATCGCATTTTCTAGGTTAAGGAATTGCTTGTTTCAATGTAATAACGTTTAAAAATGACCTAATCCACACTTGCGGTAAACTCTTTCTTCCTCACAGCAAGAACGTCGATAAATTCGGTTTTGATCTTTTTTTACAATTGCGCAGTTCTACGAAGAATCTGAAAAAAATTCAGCGCACTGCTTGTGATAGTATCTTATCGAGAAATCTTCAATTTTCCGATTCTTTTTTTTTGGTTTTCCATTTCTGGTAACCGCAGCTTACAACCGAAAATTCTGAAGAAACTATAATATGCGGCTTGATGTCCAAAATAAGCCACATTTTTTCAAAATTTTAAAAAGCCACCGAAGTGGGAACCACCCTCACGGACAAGTTACAGGATTGAAAATTTGTACAGATGTCTTTTTTTGGTCAGCTACCGAACGGTATAATAGTCATTAAAAATCCTCTAAGTGTAATTTTGACCATCTTAATCGGCTAGGTCCTTTGATCATAAACGTAAATAAATTGATGACATCGTGATGAACTAACAGAGTTACTTTTTGACCATATTTTATTCGCAATCCTCTATTTCTACTGTATATCCATGTTTTATTATGATATGTAAGCTGAAGAGATCACTTTCAGTCATCATGATTTGACCAATATTTTCCATTATAAACTATTTTTATGGTTCCCTTTCCAATAGCTTCTATTTTTGTTGCATCAGCAACCATAATATTTAATGATGTTTTAAACTCTTCAAACATTTTTAAAAACTGTACCATCGTATCTTCAGAAGCATCTCAGTCTGCAATGAACATCTTTTGTTATTTAAAATGTTTTGTCTAAATTTATCACCCTTTGGTCTTTAATTATAAAAATATATTTTTATAATTATAATTATAACAGATTATCAACTTCGGCGAAACAGAAAAAAACTACCAAAAAGCATTTCCCTAATTTTTTGTATACTACTTCTGATATGTCTTTCAAAGCGACTTTATTTGTTCGAAACGAAAATATTGACCAATGTTGTCATGTAGATACATACTAATGTTATCTTGCAAAAATTTCCTTCCACTTTTTTAAATAACATATGAACATTTTTTAATTGATAACAAAATAGAGTTTTATTTTTTAAAAAAGAAAAGTTTAAATGAGTAACTTTAATGATCAACTTTCCTTTGAACAACTTTTTGAAAAAAATTTTTTCTTAAATTTTACTTTAGAGAAAAGCAATCATTTTTTTCCACTCTCCTATATAATTATTACGATTTTTCACGCATAAGCGATAAGCTGACAAAAAAAATTGTTCAAATATAAGTTGCTGATTCATTATATGTGTGGCAACATATTGCAATACAAAATTAATAAGAAACTTTTTACTTAATAAAAAAACTTAAGATTATTGAATCGTTTTTTTGTTTTGATAATACCAGATTTTTTTCATCAATTAATCGATCATCGTATGAGTTAGAAGTTTCTTTAGAAGAGAACAGTGACAGATATTGCATGCGATGCATTTTTTTGTCCACGGTTCTGGATTATCGATTGTACAGAAAATGCTGCAAGATAATAGCGGGCTCTATTTACATGGAACGATTAGCTAGTAAACTATATCGGACTGTACAGAAAAAGTATGTGTTTGAGGAGATTGAAGGGTATAGCCGGTTAAAGGGGCCAAAACTGTCCTTCAGTCGATTTAAACCGCTCTTTGACATTCGATAGATCGTAAAAAGAAAATCGTTTCTATAAAACGTTAACTCTCTATCGGAACCGGGGCGGGGTGGGGGGTATAGGGTGCCCCCGGTTTAATGGTTTACGATTGAATTTTCCAGTTTAAATGCGTGTATAAATTTTTAAAAAAATATCACGATTGTCGAAGTGCATTAGTGACAATTTTTTCTGATTTTTATGTAGGGTTGAACGCGTGTGTGAATAAGAGTGCACGTGTAAGGTATAACAAATAATAGATATATTTCCAAAATAACAATAATAATAGACTAATCAACGATATAACAACTTTTAATTTTGTCATTGAATGGAATGACAAATAAAAATAAAAAGATCTCATGTTTGAATATTCAGTCGATTTTCTCGACAACGAAGCCTTAAATGGAAAGATTTTATTCCATATTTGTGATTTGTTTTTTTACTGGGATATCGATATCGATTTCGATACTGGGATATCCTGCATAATCTTAATTATACCGTGTTTGCAGTTATTTCGATCAGCACAGCGAGACAAATCCGATAGTGCAAGCTTTATACAAAATAGTCATGAATGGAAAAGTTGGCGATATTATACTTCGCTTGCATTAGTGCGAAAGTGTAAAAATCTTAAAACAGTTCTTACAAGTTCTTATTTAACATTACCATGAACTGATATTATTAAAATAAGTTTTGTATTTACATTATTACATCTTAAAATAAATTTGTATAACATAAACCAGCAGTGAAGATACGTTTGATTGTCTTAATTTATTCCGTTAACTATTTTGATTGTTCAGGTTAGGTTTACAATATAAAAACAGCTGAAGGTATACTAAAAATGCCTACGGACATAAAAAATGTTGCTGCTAGCATTAGAGCAAACTCCTATTTTTCTTTCGATATAAAAGCGACAGCGATCGTTATGTCGCGAAGGGCATTTTTCGACGGTTGGAACAATTTTAAGAAATGCAATTGTTTTAGCGAGATATATTAATATTATATGAAAATATATAAACTTTAATACTATATAAATTTTTTATTATTCTTATATACATTGAAAATTCGTCTGATAAAAAAATACCATTTCACCTGGTGAAGAAGAATTTAATTCTACGAATAATGATTTTTGGTACATTTACTTTTGATTTAATTTAATTTAATATAATTGTATTTTATTTCACCTGATTTTATTATTTTACAATCAGTCTTAACACAGGGTAATCCATTTAAATCGGACCAGTCAAGTATCTTCGAAATCGTCGATGATACTAAAAAATGTTTCAAACGAAAATGTTCCGATTAATTGTTAATAACATTGAAACATTGAACTTGAGAATAGTGCAAGCGTATTACGAAATAGTAGGTGTACAGTGATCAGTCGGCCACTTCTTTTGTTATTCATAGGTGTAACGTTTATCTGTAATATATATAATACAATTATTATAATACAATTATTTGTATAATTATTTTTACAATAAATACAACAATTTTCTTTTGTAATTTACGCGAACTTGAATTATTCCGATCGCATACACATTATTAAGTCCTACAACTATATCAGTAAATAAATCCTAAATTTATGTCTAAAATTTGGCGATTTAAATCGCGGGAACACCCTGTATAAGGTAAGGGTCACAAGTACAACCGGACGAATCGTCACTGTAGTCGTATCGCGGGTTCGTAAGTAAACAGACCGATTACCGGGAAATAAAGGACACGGCTTACTGTTCCACCGAAATTCGTTAAACGCGATCCCACGTGCAGAACTTCTGAAATTTTAATTTGATTTTGCATTCTGCGAAAACAAGCTTTTCCAAAAATACGAGCAATGACGTCTCCTAATAAAGATTGTGCTTTTTGCGGGGATAATGCGACTCTCAAATGTTGTGGCTGCGAAAATTTATATTACTGCTGCAAAGAACACCAGAAGATACATTGGGATAAGCACTCTAAAGATTGCAAACCGTACAAGGTAAGATTACTGTTTAATTCAAATGATGTTCGCCGTTGCCACATCAGTACAATTTGGGTGTCTGAATATTGATAATAGATTCACCTAGCACTAAAAATTCAATACTTGATTCTTAATTTCCTGGTTTAAATTCAACTGATTATATTTTTAATTTATATATATTTTTTATATGTAATTTGATATATATATACGTATATATACGTATAAAAAATATTTTATTTCTCT